AGCTCCTTCCGGGAGGTCACACGTGCGCTGTTCTTCTGCAGCGATGTGATGGACTGGAAGAAGGAGCCCTTCTTCTTCTTCAGCTTCTCCTCGATATCCCGGGCCTTGTCGCGCACATCGTGGGCACAGTGCTCCTCATCGAAATAAAACTTCTTCGTCTTGTCCACGTCGCCCACACTCAAATGGAGTTCCTTCTGCACATTGACGATGCCCGATAGCGATCTCTTGGCAATGGCCAATTTGTAGTCCCTGAGAACCTTGGCTTCGTCGGCTATCTGCTGCTGGAACACCTCAATAGCGGCCAGCCGGGCACGAGCCAACTTCTCATTCTCCTCGAGAACTGTGCGCCACACGCTCCACATGTTCCTGCAGAGGGAAAGCAGGGTGGCCAGTCATGAGGATTCAGCCAGGAACGCTATGGAGTGGCGCATCACTTACCAACGCTCTTCCATGCCCTCCATCTTGATGTCAGGAATGTTGGGTATCTTCTTGTTGAGATACTGCGACGAGATCTTCAGGAGGGCCTCGCTATACGACTTCTCGATGGCCGATCGCTTGATGGTGAACTGTCGTATGTCCTCCAGCAGGTCGCACTCATGCTGGTTCTTCAGCTGCAACTTGGCCACCTGTTCCGTGTGCAGATTCTTCAAGAATTTCACATAGTTACCCTGTTGGACACGAGAGTTTAGTGTGTGTGTGTGTTTGTGTTTGTGTGGGGAATAATTCTCAATGGTATGGGGGAGGTTCTGTGAGAGGCTTTACCTTACGCGGCGGTGGCTGCATTTTGGGGGCTTTTGTCTACTATGGCTATGCTATCGAATCACTCTACGCTCTGTCTTTACGCTTTTTACGCCAAGCCAAGCCAAGCCAATTCTTGTTCTTTACGAGCTCCAATCAAAGCGCCTTACATTACCACAAGCAGCTGCTGCAAAAACGAACGGGTGAGAATGATGTGTGAGGTTCAAGCTATTAATGGATTCTCTATGGTTTATGTAACAAATATTGCGGCTGAAGGTTGCAAGCTTTTTCTTCGCAGCAAAATTCTCTACAGTTTGATGGTAATTTTTCAGCGGCACAGCAGCAGCACCCACGCACAGGGCACAGGCCACAGGGACACAGCAGCCCCCTCGTTTCGGGTGTATCGATTTCTCTGGCTCTCAGACGGTGTACCAAACTTTTAAACTACAATTTCAAATGATTAAACTCCATGCTAACACTTTTGTTGGACATTGCCCGTGAAGGTTGTCCCCTCGGTCAGCAGTTTGTTGATTTTTCTGGTATCTCTGTTTGCTTTTTATGGAATTTAATACACTTTTTCTCTGGTGCCTGCTGTCCGTGTCTTACTTATCGATTTCGATTTTCACTTCTTTTTTTCCGCTGTGGCTATTTTACCCATGAACCGTTAGCTGCTGTTGCGCAGGAGTGTGAGAGCAAGAGAGCGAGAGAGACATAAGAGAGAGCAAGAGTTGGTGTGTGCGTGTGTCCCGTTAGAGAGAGATGAGAGATTAAGCGCGTACGATTTTTGGCTTACTTTCATTCATAGCCAAATAAATCCGTTAACAAAAACAGGGCCCAGCACATGCGCTGGAGAGAGAGCGGACGGACTGGCTGGGTTTGTTATTACCGAAAAGGTTAACGCTGTCAGCTGCTTGATAACGTTTCGTACGTCCCCCTCTTGACACAAACAACTGGCTAGCTCATCCAAAATTAACTGACAAATCAGATCTTAACGCGGGGCACGCGGCAACTGTTTCAAAAAATATGCGCCCATCACCCCCATGGGCTATCACGAAGGTTTAATTGATAATTTCTGATATTGGTTGAGGGGTTTATATTGATAAGATTATGATAGAAATATAAATACCCACACGCTGAAAAATCTTCATGCACATTCCAGGCTATAAGTGCCCTTCCATAGCGATACCTAGAGGAAAACTTATTTTTTCTAATAGTCTAATCAATTTTCTATAAGATGTGCAAAGTTTTACACAACAAGTTGGCATTTCTTTATTTTTTAAAATTATTTAAACATAAAAGGTTTAAAATTCGACAAATTTAATTCGTTTTGCTACACAGCAACTACACAGGGTTGCATGTGGCGGCGCAAAACAAATGCTACATGCTTATCTACATGAATTCTACACTTAAAAACAGCTGATCAAATATCAAAATAAAACCCCTTGTCAGCCCGAAATTTGTTATTTTTTATGTTTTGCCTGAAAAATGGCCACCAAGCTAAATGTAAATATCCGCACAGTGCTGAGCAACTGCGAGGAGCTGGTCAAGGACGAGGATAACTTCTGGCGCCTACAGAAGTTTATTAAGGCGGTGGACATAATGGTCGCGGAGCTGCAGGCTCTGGACGACGACCCACGGAATGTGCCCAGGATCTCCGGGTACATAGAGCGCCTGCAGGCCCTCAAGCTGACCACCGGCTACACGGGAGGTACAAAGATACAAGTGAATGCGGCGACTGCCAACGAGGCTGGGGAAGTATCCCTGAAGGAGATGCGGCAGATCGAGAACACAAAGAACTACAACGACATGCGGAAGGATCTGCTGGCGGGTAAGACGATTAGCATAAACCCAACAGAGTACTGCTCACCGAACACCCTCCATGTATTAGTAGATGGCGATGCGCTGCGGCGACGACGTGGCGCTGACGAGGACGCTAGCGGCAGTGGCAGTCCCAGCGGCAGCTCCAACAACCCGGCCACTGAAGGCGACAACATGAACGAGGCTGTCAAGTATTACAATCAGAAGCAGGAGAAGATCACAGAGCACATGCTCTCGCTGACGCGCAACCTCAAGGAGCAAACGATGACGGCCAATCGCATTATAAAACGTGACACCGAAATGGTGAGCAAATCCGCTGGCATCACCGATCGCAACATCAATTCCCTCGGCAAGGAGGCCGAAAAACTTGAGCAGCACTCGCGCAGTGCCTACAAATGCTGGGCCTGGATGCTGTTTGTCTTTGTATTTTGTACATTTGTAGGTGAGTCATTCATCAATGGAAAGTCCAAGCCGATCCATCACTAATTTCTCGCTTTATTTCCCTCCCCAGCCATGGTGTTTTTCATGAAAATCATGAAGAAAAAGAAGACGTAGACTGTTTCCCAACTAAACCTCAAGTCTCAAGAAGCTCATGCCTGTCTATACAATATCAGTACGAAAAAAGCTCTAGTTCGTTCATTCCCCGAGCTCTTCAAGAGTTCAAAGGGTTATCCAAATGGCAGCAAATGTTACCCCCCCAATTTACAGACCCACATTAAACGATCGAAAGCCGCCAAGCGATTTATTTTTGGTTTATGTACAAGCGAAAGCATTGGAGATTATGGTTTGAGCATTTATTTCATCAGCGTCAGGGGGGAATTGTTTTCCTTTCTAATCTGCGGCTATCAGCTCGGTAATGCCGCTCTTTGTGATCAGCTGCAGCAGGGAGCCCGTCTTCGGGCGCTCCTGGGCCTGGGTCCAGTTTAAGAAGAGGCCAGCTACCTCCTTGAGGGGCGTCCAAGTGCCAAAGTCTGCGTCTGGCATCCATTTGCGGTTCATGGGCGTGTCCAGGGTCACTGGCAGAATGGATACGACCAGGGAGCCGCCTGGCAGACCTGAATTCGAGCCAGCAAGCGAACGTGTGAGCTGGTGGACAGCCGCCTTGGCCATGCCATAGCCAATCATGCCAGGAGTGCCGTCCAATGCAGGCTTGGCGCCGGTCAGAGCCAAAAGTCCACCCTCCTTCAAATGCTGAGCAGCAACGGCCGCCGAGATGCTGGATGTCCACACGCTCTGCTTCCACATGAGATCGGCGTTCTTGGCCAGATCCTTCTTGGCATTGCCGCCAGCCCAGCCGCCGGCCACGCAGATCACGGCATCCAGCTTCTCCCCAGCGAGGGATTCTCCCACTTTGCCCACCACAGTGGCCTCCTGCTCCGACCAGCTGCCATCGCGTGGCACCACAATGCTCACATCGGCCTTGTCGTTTTCGCTCAAGTCAATGCTGCCGACCCACTGCGCGTTACATGCCGAAGGTTGTCCAAGAAACAATGAAACAATTAAACCTCGTGGATTGCAGGTGAAAGGCGGCGGATACTCACGTAGTTGTTGGCTTTGAAGTGATCGACACATGCGGAGCCCAATGCTCCCTTGCCCCCATAGATGACGACTCGGCCTGCGGACATGATGCGTGCTGCCAGTTTTGCGGTTAAAATTGAATTGAGAAAAAACAAAGTTGGGCCTGAGCTCCAGATAAGCTGTGACTCAAAGCAGCTGGGGTTTTTGAACGCGCGCAAGGTGGAGACCCGTTCTACCGGTAGTGGCTAATTATTGGCGTCGAGAACGAGCTTTTGCAGCAGCTTTTTTGAAAACAACACAGAAACAGCAGGAACAGCAACAGCAACAAGTAAAAATCAATAAATTATGGGAGCATATACAATTTAACCCATTAAGGTACTGGACGAATTTTTATTTAAGTTCATGAACTAGGAAAACTGAACCTTCGAGAATACCTGAGATCTAGCAGGAGCGTTTAAATAGCAAAATACTCTTTTTGGAAACATTTTTACATACAATTTTTAATATTTTCAATTCATAGGCAATACCATACCTTCACGGGTTAATCTCCGCAAATATCGGCGTTTTTCGAGCTCTACAGAACGGTCACACTCTAAATATACAGGGATGGACAGTTTTTAGCTGTTTTAATCATAGCTTTGGCTATTTTTAAAGTTAGATTTTAAAATTGATATTGCAATGAATAAATCAACATTCTGATATTCCCCAAATCAGCTATTATTTGAAAAAATTGAGAAAATTTCTCTTCACTTCCAGAGTATAAAAATAAAAGGTGTGCCCAATGTCCCAAAGAGTGTGAGAGCGAAAGAGAGAGGGTGGACATCAGAATAGGCCCCCCAAAGAGCGAGTGTGTCGTACCCTTTGAAGTATTCTACCATGACTAGACCTTCCACCGAATCCAACGAATTTCCACCAGAATAATACCAATACAAAGTGCCACACACAGCAGCTATATTGCAGTGCCGCTTTAGTTCAAGTTCCGCGAGCCGCACGAAGCCCCCAGCTGTGTTACATCACAGCAGCAGCACAAAAGTTAAACTATTTGGTAGAAGAGAAGTTTTGCGCGGAGAATCGTATCGTGTTGTGTTTTTTGAGGTCGATCGGTTTTCCTTTCCTATAGTTTGCCTGCCTGCCGCCGCCTGTCTTGCCCCGCCGCCAACGGACTGTGCCACACATGTTTGTGCCGTGCCACACAAAACAGAGAAAACAGAGAAAAACACACACACAAAGTAGTCGGCGCGTTAGTTTTTCAATTTCCACTCGGAGCGGGGGCCCGTCTCAGTCTCATTTCTAATTGTGATTCGTAGGAAGTAAGTTCTCTAGTGAAAAAGTAGTCAGATAAAAATAGTATAATAATTACAACAGAATATCGGAACACCACAAATAAAACAACAATAAATGAAAACACCACCAGAATAGTAAAAATAAAAAGTAATATAACAAGCCCGCAAATCGTCCGTTAAATCCACGTATCGACGCGATTGAGTAACTACCAGAAACCGAACCGAACCTAACGTAATGTGTGTAACGTGAACGTGAACGCGAACGGGTGTGTGAAATAGAAGAGGACAGCAACAGCAATAAAGTCAAAAATATCTTCGGACCCAGGGAAGGACGCAGCGGCAGCCACTAAATAACGGTAAGTGTGAGAAGAGGGGTAAAAGGATGGGGTAAATGTCAGTGCGTGGAAAACTCAGAAATTCCAGGCGAAAAATTCTCAACTCGTTTTACGCCCGTCTCTCTCTCTCTCTCTCTGACTCTCTTTCTGTGTGCGTGTGTGTGTTCACTTAAGCGGAAAACGTGTATTCTTAAGAAAAACCAGAAAATCGAAACCCGGAATTGGGTCACTATGTCAAACGCGCTCCAACTCTGTCTCCGTCTCTGGCTTAGAGTCTGGCTAACTCTCTGGTCTCTGGACTGGCTAAAACGTGTTTCGTGCTTAGTCAATTTGTTCTTTTTATCTAGTCGCAGCTGCGCCGCCGCTGCCTCTGTGGCTGCCGTTGCCGTAAGCGCTGCTCTTTTGGCCGTCAACACTTGACGCTAGGCGGCCTAAACAGCATCGCCTACCAAATGCCTAAAAAAAGAGGATGTGAATGTGTGTGTGTGTGAGCGAGGTAGGGGGAAAGATAGACGTTGTCTGATTGTCACCCGCGCGAATGACTTAGGTACCCTGTAATTGAGTGGGGCATATTGTGTGCATTGTGTGTCAGATAAGATCAAATTCCTTTGACAGAAAAGGGACTAGTGTCAAATTTTTATTTATTTTACTTGTTTATAATCTTAGTCGGGTATTTTTTTAATTAATATCTCCATTTAAGCCAACCAATAAGTATCTACTAGTCCATCATTGCCTAAGGTTTTGTCAAGTGGTCGTCCGCTCTCTCGGCTAACGTTCGCTCTCCCTCTCTCTTGCATTTTCGGGCACTACTCAATCGCTTCACTTGATCTTGCACTCTGTCGACGACGACGCGACTGCGCTGCCTCGATTTTACCTTGAGCACGCCTGCACTTGTCGCGGCGCTCTCTGCTGTCTGCTGCCCGCTATCCGCTTTTCCCCCCTACCCTTTACCCTCTGCCCATTTACTGCGTTCGTTATTTGAATTTTGAAATTCTGAATAAAACCGAAATTGGAGCCAACACCTTTCGAAACTGTTAGCTAGCCAGACGGAATGGTTGGTTAGCTTTTATTTCTGTTTTCCTTCTCTCCTTTTGTGATGTTTGCCAATAAAATTATTACGACTTGGCCTGGCCGACTGCTAATGCGTTTTAAGGTCACCAGCTCCGCTGCCTGCCCCTCCATTCCATCCATGCCATCCATCCATCCAGCTACCGGGCGGACGAACGGGTGACCCAATAAAAAGATGTTTCATGAGCGATGGATGCGATGGATGGGCGAACGTGTGTGCGCGCCTCCCGCTTACATTTCTCGGTCCATTTAACATGTGTCCGTTTTGGCTATTTCTGATTTGATTTATTTCAAAGTTATTTATTATACAACCAGGCCCAAAGCAAAACAAACAACGTTAACAGAGAGCGACAGGGTGACGGAGAGAAACAGAGAGAGAGACGGCATGGCAGCTGGTGCTCATGCTCCAACAGGATACGCTTAAGGATACGGATAACAACACGGAAGAGGAGCCATTATAGGTTGCTGGTTTACTAGTTAACGGGGCCCACGCACATGGCCTATACAACAGAGAGACCGACTACCAGAGAGAGGGTAGTTAGAAAGAGAGAGAGCCCTGTGGAGGCGGAGGCGGAACGGACTGACACTGACAGTGGAGCACGCTGCCTGTATAAGAGCAATAAATAATGCACACGAAGAGCAGCTAAGAGAGAGAGCGATAGGAAAGAGTGAAAGAGAAAGATTCATTCACAGTCGGAGCCAGAGAGAGATAGAGAGAGCGTTGAGAGAGAGAGCTTCGTGTGGGTGGTCTCTTTGGGGGGTGTATGTTTGATTTTTGCACTTAAGAGCGCAAAAAGTGGCTTTGATTTTCGGTTTTGCCCTATTACCGGGGTTGGGGTCGCACGCCTGTGGGAATTGATTAGACGACACCCAAAGGGAGGCCGTAATGAAGAGTCATTTAATTGATAACAGTATCAAGAATGGTTAAGGCGGGGACACACTCTCTCTCTTTTCTTGGTCTATTAAAAATAGAGTGAAAGTTGTCCACGGGATGGATGTTTCTTTGGGGGAACGCTTCCTTTCTTTTATTTTTGTACTTTTTAGTGTTCAACTGTGGTACTGTAAATTTATAGTTGGAACAACCTATGGGTACCCTATGGGTACTTTCTACCTAAATACCAACATTCATTGAAATGTATTAATTGCGAGAACGAAGAATATTTTTATGTTGTTCTCTGTCGACTATAGCATTCTGTCTAGTTAATCCTTATTAATGTACGAGTATTTATCCACTTTCTAAGTTTATCATCTCACTCTCTCGGAAGAAGATCCCTTCCATGTTTTTAACTTTAAAAGAGTATTCCGCACTTTCGTAGAAGTATTTCCGGTTTCTTCCTCCTCCATTGTTGTCGATGGGTGGGTGGTTGGCTTCCGACTGCGTGGGAGTTCGCCCCACTTTTGCATTCCCCCCTCACTCAGTCACCTCTACCGCTCTCTTGCAAAACTCTCTCTCTCTCTCTCGTCCGCTCTCTCTTTCACTCTGGATCCCTAGTATATAGCACGAGTTCCAATTGAGGATAGGGATGCGAAGGCTAGCGCTAACCTATATAATTTTTTTGTTCCGCTACGAATCACCTCCCCTCCTTCACACTCCCACTCTGCTCCTACCGCTTCCCCGAGCCCACACTCCTGCTCTTTTGCAGTTGAAGGTTCTTTTTTTATATTTTAAAGCATTTTTTGTTGGTTTTTCTTATATTTTTTCTGTGTGCGTTTTCCTGAGGCGTCGACAAACCGGAGACGGACACGAAGACAGAGACGCAGGCAGTGATGCTGACGCTGTCATTGACGTTGACGTAGACGCTGACAGAGACTGAGAGCCGAGGAAAATTTTGTGTTGACGAGAGATGATTTTGGATTTGATTTGCTTTTTGGATTTTCTTCATGGTTTTGAATTTGGATTTGGCTTTGCAGCTGCTGTTGGCACGTTAACTTTTCTGCCGATGGATTTTTTTAAGGAAAATCTGACACGTTTCCTTTAGCGGTAGCTTTACCGTTGCTCTTCCTACTAACAAAATGCCTTTGGATTGTATCCTGTTTTTACTTTTGCCTTTTGGCTCTCCCACTGCTTTTGGCGTTGCTTGTCTTTTGGTTTTTACTTTTTTTTTTGTTTGCTTTTGGCTTTGGTTTTAATGTTAAGTATACGCCTCAGTGAACCCAATTTAATTATCATGATTGTTTCTCTCTCTCTGTCTCTGTCGCTGATGATTCTGCTTCTGCTGCTGTTTCTGCTGCTGCTGCTGCTGCTTTTGATGGAATTTAAATTTTCCAACTTCACAAACAGAGAAAAGCACAAGCGCACCCACACACGCACGTACGAGCCCAGAGAGCGATTTTCCAACGTGTTTTTCATCTTTTCTGTTTTTGTATTTTTCTGATTATGTAAGTGGAAACGTAAAGCGCTGATAAAAGCGATGGCTGGCTGACGGACTGACGGGCTCGGCCCGGGCCCGGTCTCTGGCCATAATTACGAGCTTTAGATTCGCCCTTCGCCCATTTTTTATCAGTGGCTGGCGTTATTTATGCGTCCTCCCACAATGACAAAAGAGCGGGTGGTGCTGTTGGAAAGGAGGGGGGATTGGGTGCTTGATAGACAACAATTGAGCATTTGAAGTGCAGCCTAGCGCAAAGCGAAAGAGAAGGAGAGGAGCAGAGCAGAGCAGAGAGGAGAGGAGAGGAGAAAGAGAACAACTGCTGGAAGGCTGTTGTTGTTGTTGTTGCTGTAGCCAAAAACCCAAAACGAAAAGCAATTAAATGGCCATGGATCATTGCACAATAAGTAAAGAATCAACGAAAATGGAACAAAAAGAATGAAAAACTAACTCGCTCGCACACACGCACACAAACAAACGCAACAATGGTCATATGGGAGGGTACGGGAGTGGGGGGTAGCAGTCAAAACATAACTGTATTTGCTTGGCCAGGCATATAGCTGACTCTGTTGCCGTCAGCGTCGCTGCTTTGGGACGTACTCTCTCATATGGGAATGAGAATGAGAATGGTGTGACAATAGAAGTTGCACTGCTTTACACGTGTGCACGATGTGTACTGCTTGTTGAGTGGAAGTTACCTACGAAATTCGTTGATATCCCCCCCATGAGAATCATTTATAATACTAATACTCGTAACTATAATTAGTTGGGACTACAATAAGTACAGCTGTAGTAGCACAGCTTATGGTTTCCCATAAGGGAAAGCAATGTTCACATAGCAAGTGTTGAATGGAACTGCTTCTATTTGCTTCTCATATTTAAATGCACTGATTCACCCTGGAACTACTCGTGAAGTGAACTGAGAATGATGTACATAAACCCTTGCAGATCGATCTTTGCTATGGTTCCATTGTTGCTACTAAATCTACCAAAATCAATGTAATTTACCCTATAAACCGCAGTTTCAGGCCATGCCCCGGTGGTTTCTCAATCACGTATGGTGAAAGGTCTAGTTTTGTAATCTATGGAGGGGATTACATATTGATAGATTACTTTTAAAGCTATCAAAAAATACTGCTGTTCGGCTAAGCGCCGGCCCATGGCAGCACAATGAGCAAAGAGACCATATGTAACATCTCTTAAATGTAACATCTCTTAAAAGTAACGTCTCTCTTTATTACTGTTTTGTTTGCTTTGCTTATGCTCTGTCTGGTGCTTTGCTCTCTGTCGGCGTTCGACAGCCGCTGTGGGGGAGGCTCGTCAGAGAAAGCAGAAGACACTTCAGATTCGATCATCACCGTCGTTAAACGTTTTGCTGTCTGGCACAGTGACCTGCCTGCCACAGAGTTCTAAACTAAACCTTACATAAATCTAACAACTTCAACAGTCTTGAACCGGCCCCCGCGTCTTCAATCGACCCATCGTTAACTCTCGTTATCAAATCCGCACACCTTTCGCTAGTTTTGGATAAAAAATATATATATTAACTTAAGTACAATAAACTGTGAATACATTAACTGAACA